GTGTGGAGAGCAGCTCCCTGCAGGTAAGACTGTAAAGGGGAAGGGGCATTGTGGGGTGCAGATCAAGGTCCCCAGTGTGAGGGAGCGAGTGTATTAGGGGCAGGGGCTGGGGGGGTGGGGAGTGCTGTCCAGCCAGGACAGTGAATGGGACCCTGAGCTGGGGCAGGGAGTGGGATGGAGCCGCAGGCAGCTCATCCAGGGATTCAGTGTCCTGGCACTTAAAAATAGCAGTGGGGTGCTTGAACTAAAGCTTGTCAAATGAGCTTTAGCTGCCCACCACCATTTTTAAGCGCAGGGATGCTTTTAACTGGAGCAGAGCCAAGCGGGGCGAGGGTGGATGCGGGTTGCCCACTGGAGGCTTGGGGGTGTCCGCCCTGCTGCCTTTGTCTCAGAAGCCCTGCGCCGGCTACACACTCCCTGCCCACCCAGCAGCGGGAGGCACAAATCACCACCCCCACTGGTGCCAGGTGGACAGGGGGTGCAAGGCTCCTGGGACAAAAGGCATCAGAGCGGAGAGCCCTGAGCCTACAGCAAGCACTCTGTACCTGCCCCATGCACAAATCTGAGGGGGCACATGCCCCCCCATGCTTCCCCCATCGGGACAGGGAGCTGTTCCACCCACGCCCCCGGATGAGCTGCCCATGACTCCATCCCTCTCCATGCTCCAACCCCGAGTCCCTTTTACCGCCCTGGCTGGGCTGTGCCCCCAGCCTCTGCCGTACTCCCTCCCTCACTGTGGGGGGCCTCTATTTGCCTCCCCCATGCCTCTTACCTCCCCCACTTCCCTTCCACAGACTTACTTGCAGGGAGCTATTCTCCATGCTGCCTGGCTGCATTCCTGGCCGTGTGTATGCGTGCGACCGCATGCATGCACGTGGCATCCAGGGGCCCTGGTAAGAAGGTATAATTATGTTTATCGGTGAAAATTATCTGCTACACCAGCCAAAAAAAGCTGATAGCCAATAATGTAAATTTCCCTTTTATCAGTGTTGATCCGATAGGCAATCGATATATCAGTGCACCTCTACCAAAAACGTGCAGTGAATCAGAGACTCGTCTTCCTTGCTGTAGCTTTGGAATAATTACTTTTTTAATAGTGGAAAATAAAATTGTAGTTAAAATGTAATTGTTAAGATAAATTGCTAAGATGAGTGAGATCATTTGGAGTTGCCCACATTTTGGTGGTATTTAGTTCTAGCTGTGGTATTGTAGGTCACAGAACATTCATATTTTTTTATAAATAACCAAACAGTCAGACTTCTGGAAACTATAGGTTACAAAGGCTTATTAGCAGGTCTCATAACTACACTGGTTCCTTAAACTCAGTACAGATGAGATACTTTATGATTAATTAGCTAAACCCCAGAGCAGCTTGCAAATTATTTATTTATTACGTGTTAAACTGCATCATTGCATTTTCTCTGAAAATAGCCATTTTCCAGAATATTTAAGCATTCTAATAAGAAATACAGGCAAAATATTGTTAGGTCAGATGTTGTCTACTACATATGCATTTGGCTGGATAATTTTTACATATGGAAAGAAAATGATTTATTTATTTATTTATTTATTTATTTAATTCCTTAAAGCCACATTCACATTGAATTGTCCTCAAGCCCCTTGCTGGCACTACTGGCATGGACATTGCTATTGCATTGAAAGGAGTCACACTGGAACTTGGATTGAAGCATTGAGATACTGCAAACGATATCGAGACACAGAGCTATTAACAATCACAAATCCTTCAGAAAAAGTAAGTATTGGGCTGTTTATGTAATTTTAAATTTGTCTACAAGACCACTTAGACTTAACTTATTTTGTTTCTAGTTCATATCTTCTTTCTTGAGGAAGCACAAGGATAGCATTTCTTTCGTATTTTTGGTGAATTTCATCTTTTCTTACCCTGAATTATTGTGCACGTTCTGCTTGTGTGCTTCTCCATCTGTTCTGTAGTGTGGGAAGAGAGAAGCTGTTGCAAGTTGGGACAGTTGTTTTCACATGTAAGCTTCAAAGGGATTTCCATGAATGCAGAGATGGTTAGCTATGTTGGTATGAAGAAAGACAAGCTAGTGCAGGGTGGCAGCTGAGAGACTAACTAGTTCAGAGGCATGAACAGTCTGCTTTGTCAGGTGCTAGGACTGCCATTGCTAGCATCTGGCGGCATCTTGACCTGCCTTTTGCCTGTCAAAGGGATTTGAGCTCAGATCTTAAGAGGAAAACTTGTTTGTTAGTCACTCCATAGGATACTCTGCCTTTTTATAGTGTTGTTATAAACATAGCTATCTTTATTTCAGTCTGAGATCTAAGAGTATTTGGTCAATGTTAATTAAAGTCTTGCAGCACCCTCATGCCATGGGAAAATTAGGCAACAACAGAGCATTGACTTGCTAAGTTCTCTCAGTTCCAGGACTAGATCCTGAGAGTCCTGACTCCATATCCTGCACTGCAGCCATCAGAGCTCATTTGATGTTTTGTACAGCTGTTTTCCCGGGAATGAGGCTAGAGACAGATATGTTGTTTTGCCTGTGCAAAAGGTGACCTCTTTTTTTTTTGTTTTGGAACACTCCAACGTCAGGATGCTTTAGAGCAAGAACTTTACATTTGGCAGTGAGTGGCCTTTATGCCGGGGATGTGCTTATAACTGCTTTGGTGAAAAACTCTACAGGTTTGCCTTTTTTTTAGTAGAAATATGGCTGTTTTTATATGTTCTGTGAAAGCAAATGGGTTTCTTTTGAAAACTCAATGACCCTTCCCCTTGTGCTATGCAGGCAGTGTGGAGGAGGGAGCTGTTTAATTTGAGTGCAAAGCGTACAAGAGCTAGATCCTAATGGTGGGGGGCAAGGAGTAGTTGGGTATAGGGATTATGGGATTGCGACTGATTGGGTTAGAGGTTTGGATTGGAGGAAAGAGAACAAGAGACTGGGAGACAGACAGGGGAGAAGGAAAGCTGTACTTCTTGGGATAGGAGAACAGGAAACGGTATGAAAAATGGGAAGAGGCTGAGAGCCAGTTGGCTGAAAGCAAGACACTGAAATTGGATGAGGAGCTGAAAAGTGAAGAGACAGAGGAAAGCTGTACAAGTAGCTAGGGACAAGAGAATTGGACTCAAGAAGAATCTGGGGAAGGCGCAAGAACTGGCAGCAACAAATCAGGAAAAAGATAGCTCCATAAAGGAGTATGGAGCTGGCAAGTGAGACTAGCAATGCAAGGAGCTGAGAGAAGAGACAGTTATACCCTGTATATGCAAATTGCTTAGAATTGTTCATAGACTTATTTTGTAAAAGCAGTAAATAGCTTGTCAGAAAGCTGTTGAGTACTCTCTGCTAAGTTCTCAAAGCATTTTACAATGTCTCCCCTAGCTGATGCTCAGAGAGGTTCATGCCAAAATTTGCAGTCATAGAAACACTGAAAATTCATCAGCTAAACCAAGATTCTCTTCTCCAAAAGTGCTGAGCACATATGAAATCTCCTGAAGCTGCAGCTTGAGGTGTTCAGAGCTCCTGTCATCTGTTTCTGATGTCTGGTCTCTGCAACCTTCCTTCCCATCCTTTACAGCAGTTACACCCAGGGAATTTGTCTTCAGAGCCTAATTTACGCCTTAAAAGCAGCATTCAGAAAATAATCAAGGTATTTCTCTGGTTATATCTAAACTTGTTGGGCACTTTGGGAATTAGGAACTACTCTGAATTCATTATTGACTCCAAGTCATTATTGACTCCAAGATGAACATGAGTCAGCAATGTGGGGAGGCGGCTAGGAAGGCCAACTGCACCTTGTCGTGCATCCACAGATGCACCTCGAGCAGGTCCAAGGAGATGATCCTCCCCCTCTATGCGGCACTGGTCAGGCCGCAGCTGGACTACTGCGTCCAGTTCTGGGCACCGCACTTTAAGAGGGATGTGGACAGCATCGAGAGGGTCCAGAGGGGGGCCACTCGTATGATCAAGGGCCAGCAGGGTAGGTCCTATGAGGAAAGGTTGCGGGACCTGAACCTGTTCAGCCTTCAAAAGAGAAGGCTGAGGGGGGATCTTGTGGCCTGTTATAAACTGGTTAGGGGGG